CCCCATTACAATTAGCTTTCATTGACTGTAAAAGAGAAATAGCACCTTAATCCACATAATGAGACCTTTTAAGAATATCAGCAGACAAAGCGAAATGAATTAAAGAGAGCATGAGGAGTACTCCCAATCCTTACATCATCAAAGTCTAATTAGAACACTGAGCAATACACTTCATACAATGTGTAAACTAATAATAATAATAACTACAGCATCTAAACTACACTTAGCAAAAATGATAATAAAAGAGTTGAATAATAACCTCATATAGCTCGTTCGGTATTAGTGTTCGTTGTTGAGCATATTGAACTCTTGCATTGAAATCCAAGAAAGTGTCAAGTAATGAACTTGCAAGCACAAAACCCTAGTGAAGTTCAAACAAAGATCAAATGTGACTAAGATATTTTCTTCAAAAGCAAAGTGTTATATCAAACAAAATAAATCATGGCATTATAGTATACTTTAAAGTTCTGGAGTGGGAAATATCCTGCTTTATAACCTGCAAGTCAGTAAAAATATTCATCATAAAACAATTTGGAGCACAATAAAAAAAAAAAAACAACAATTTTGTTGGTGGAATCAATGGCAAATCAATTAATGTTCACCTTCATGTATTTTTTGTACAAGGGGAGCAACAAATAAGCCTGAATACGAACCACCACCTATATAAGCTGGATTCGATTGAAATTTGGGGTGATCCACAAGCCACTTCGTACAATGTAGAGAAACAAATAAAACAATCATTACTACAAACCATCACATGCTAAGTAAGAACATAAAATATAATAGCAAATAGAATTTTCGGCAAAAATAATAGTTTAAAATAACGTAAACCTTTTGTAGAAAATCATAGATATGTTCCACCGTTTGCTTATCATTGGTATAATAACCTTGTTGGGTTTTTGAGTAAGAAAATCCTGTACCAACCGGTGCATCAATATATAATATGTTGAGTACCTGCGATTTAACATACGTTATTTTTCAAATTGAGAGGTTAATACATTCTGTGTTTTTTATCAATAACTCAAGTTTTTGAGATGATTAACGATGATTTATATATAGTTGCATTCTTCTTAACTTTATTCTTTAAAATTAAATGTCAGTTCACACATTTTTAATTTATTAATATAGTATAATTAATAATTAAATAATATTAGATTTGTTCAATATATGGAGCAGTAAAAGATGAAGAACACCTTTGACCAAGAGTTTGGATTCAGACGAAGTTCCGGAATAGTCCCATTAACATTGTCATAATTCAACATCAACGGCCCTGCAAAAGATTTTTAAACAAGAAACATAAAAATTATGTTGTATAATCAATTATCACAATATAATTAATTATAAATATAATTAATTATTAAAATAGTCTATTTTTCTAGCTAATTGAAAAATGCAATTAGTTTTATACTACTTGTATGGTTAAAATGATGAACTTAATTTTTTCCTACACTCCCATTGATACTTGATTTCTTTTGATACTTGGTTTTATATATATCAATGTATAAGCTCCCATCAATAGTTGATATTTATAATACTATTTTTTGTAATTTTAGAGAAATTAAGAGGATTTATGACACAAATATGTACCGTTTTCATATAAGAAACCTGAAAGGCCAGAACAACCAGGTCCCCCAATAAGCCAAAGTAGGAGTGGATCATTCATGGGACTCCTTTCAGACTCGACAAAGTAATAAAACAGCTGCACCTCTTCTCTTTCACCCACTCCTACATACCTGTATTAGAGGGTACATACGTTGTAGTAGGTTAAATTTAGCCACTTTAATTTCTTAATTATTCTTTAGTAGTTTTCTTTATTGAAAATAAATGTATTTTAATTTGATAATATTTGAAAATAAAAATATAAATGATTATAGCCTTACCCATGTACCATGATCAATGAATAAGCGACTCACCCGGTTTCCAACGTGAATGGAAGATGCCCAAAACCTGGTAGAGATTTGACGATGAAATTTGAAGATGCGATGTGCAACAAATGCAGTGTGGTAACCAAAATGCACCATGCCTTCGAAACCTTAGCCATTGTGCCACTGTGTGATCATATAACACACTCTTTAGACGAGGGTATATATATATATATATATATAACAGTTTGAATGAATACATCACGAGGCCTAAACACTTGTCAATTTGGATACCATATTTAAATATTGGATATGAGAATTTAGATTCGATTATTGCTCAAAGATCTGAGCAGCTCCCTTCGATGAATTAATTATCTTGTCTTTGTGCACTTTCACGTTAACTTTTCTTTGCTCACAAATTTGGATATATATAAAATACAATCTTCATTTCTCTTTATACATTAAAAATTGTTTTATTTATTTGTTCATGTAAAAGTTTAAAATAATATTAAATTAATAAGACTCTTTGATTCGAATATTTGTTTCTCTAAAGAGATAAATAGGAATGAAAATACTATTATTTTATACAACTTTAATCATTGTTTAATTGATGAAAACAAAATTAATTTAGTAATTTAAAAATCTGGTTCATTTTATAGGATTTTAAAAGCTATTTTAGTGATACTTTTCTTACAATTACTTATTTCATTTTTTATTATAACGTGATAAGCAAGGAAAAATAATTTAAGAGAGATTTATAATTTATTATTTTTTAAAAGCAACGTTTTATTTTTTTAATTGTGAAATCAATCAGAGAGATTTATAATATATTAAAGTTGCTCTAATCCCGTTGACACTGCAATTTTTTTTAATGATAGGTTTTTATTAACATAATCTGGACATGCTACTCGGTTTCCATTCCGCTTCACCGGGGACATCGTTCAATACACGGATAGTTTTTTTTATTAAAACATTGACCTAGGAAAAACCAAAATCTTACTCAACTAGCGCTTAAGAATACACAATTGGGTATTTGAATATATAAAGTGTATTTGAATACACAATTTAATTGAATATTTATTTCATAAATTTTAAATAATAGTTTATGCTTTATATTTAACTATAAAATATATTAAATTGGGTTAAATATGTTTAGTTTGATAAGTTATATCTAAAAAGTGATTAAAATAGTTATATCTAAAAAGTGATTAAAATATATTAAATTGGGTTAAATATGTTTAGTTTGATAAGTTATATCATAAATTATTCATAATTTTTTTTTAAAAATCTTATAGGATAAAAATTTGTTGAATAAACACTTAATCAAACGTCATCTCAACGCACTGTAAAACCATTACTCAAATCAATGTCAAGGTCTCAGCTAGCAGCTAGCCATCAAAGGATCTACATATAAAGGCTCTTAGTGATAAGCGAATAGATCTGCCTACAAATTATAATATCAATCTTTTAAAAGTATAATTTTATTAAAATTATATAATTTTATTATAAAAATATTTTATGGGTATTTTAGGATATAAAATTATTTATTAAAAATAAAATTTAAAAGATAATAGAAAATAATTTATTTAAGAAAATTTAAAATAGTTTAAGAGAAGATTACGAAAATAGCTTATTGTTTTTTTAGCTTGTTTTAATAATATTTTCATTATGGTTTAAATTTATGCCATATGACCTCATATGATAAAAATTAAATAAACAAATACTTAATTAAACTTTTTAGTATTTATTTGAATGCATTCTTATTCTTTTTATTGATATATTTTTATTTTTAATAAAATTTTATTAATTTATCTTTGGAAAACATCATTAATAACATATAATCGTTTTAGAGGAATTAAATTATAGAATGAGATATTTATCTTTAATAAAAAATTAATTAATCTTAGTAACTAATATTATTTATCAAATAATTATAATTTTTATTTTCAAAAATATCATTAGTAATTAAAAGACAAAATTTGGAGCCTAAAACAGAGGTCGCTTTCTTGGCCCAAAGCTGAGGTATCGAAATTGTCGATGCTCAGTTTTCCATCATTTTATCTTATTGCTTTTCATTCAACGTAATTTTGAACACGCCAACGTGTTTTCAAATATGGACTATCTCTTTTATATTAATTTTTTAATTTTAATAATTAACTTATAACTTTTTACATGGATAAAAAAAATTACTGAATTTGGTGGGTGTGCTAGTAAGTCGTTCAGGTCAATCTCTTACGAGATAACTCATCCCTTATGCTACTTTTGTAGTAAAATTTTCAAGTAAACAAAGAGCAGTCGTGAATTAAATTTTAAATTTTTTTATGAATTTTTTATAATGTATTTTTATTAAATAAACCACTTATCGTTGCAAGAAAGACATAAAATAAACAAAAAGAGTAAAAGAAGAAAATTAAAATATTATTAATAATTAGAAGACAAAAATTGAAGCCTAAATAAAGAGTTTATTTTATGGTTTTAATCCCATTTAAATTAAATTTGACTTAGATGTGATGAGTAAGTTTATTGGAGATTTTTTACATACACAGATATTCAAACTCAAAATTTTGTTTAATAGATACCAAATCACTTAACACTAAACGAACCTGGTGAGAGCCCAATTTATTAGCTTAATCGTAGATATTGATATTGATTTCATGCATTTAGACACTCATATTCTACATCAATTACATGGTAACTAATGTAGAATATGACGACGTTTATCTATTGAAAATTTGATATAAAAAGTTTTTAATCAACATAAAAAGTATCTTTTTACTCGAGTTTAATTTTTTTAAAATGAGATAGTTTAAGTAGATTCAAATTAGTACAGATCAGCTAACTTTTAAATATAAAATATTTTAGAAAATAAAAAAGGATAGGAGAGAGATAGCATAAAGTATGCAAAAATATGGGATGATATATACCTTAATTTTGAGAAGTTTTGATATGAAATGTTTTTTTATAGAAACTTCAGTAGTTTAGACGTAATTTTTAAAGGATGAATATTTCATCTTCTCTCTCTGGACTTGAGACGAATTCTCATGGTACATAATATGGCAACAAAAGAAAACTCAAACATAACGTAAAATGAAACAAAGAAACTAAAACTCCCAAATTAACCACACAATAATGCATTATTTATATATCATAAAATGACAACCATCGGTCAATCATCTCAAACACCTCTTTAGGTTTGTTCTCTTGCACCACATGACACCCTCCCTGCAAGTAAAGGTTCATATGTTCAATAAACATGAATGAAAAAGTATTTTCTTAAAAGGGGAAAATTATATGAAGTCATATTAAATATTCTATCTTTTAAAAATAGGGATTTTTTTACTTTGATCTTTTATTTTAGTTGCTTAAATCTTTTTCTTGTTAAGATTTGATTGTGATTTGCTTAGTGAAAATTTGATACAGAATTTCTCAACATTTTGCCTTGACTCTCAACAAAACACAAAAGGAACATTTATTTAACAGCAATCAGCAATGCAATACATCTAACAAGCAGTACAAATAATAATAATAATAATAATAATAATAATAATTAATATCGTTCAATTAGAGTCACGCACCTTCACAATAGTGGAGGTTAGGTGATAATCACTTTTTTTTAATAAGATTTGATTGTGATTTGCTTATAAAAAATTGATACAGAATTTCTCAACATTTTGCCTTGACTCTCAACAAAACACAAATAGTGTTACGTACCTTCACAATAGTATATGTCAGGTGATAATCACTTTTTTGGTAGCTCTCTGAATATCTGTACAAGAGAAAATAAAATTTAAAATTAAATATACTTCTAATTTATCAAAATATATTTTTTTTTATTTTTAATTTCTATAAAATTAATTTTTTATTTGAATTCTTACATTTTCAAAATTATTAGTTTTAGTGCTTAATCACATTTTAAAACTGAAAAAATAAACTAACCCTGCCACTTCGCCATCAACGAACCAAGGATGCCAAGTCTTATCCAACTTCAATTTAAGTGACTTGACAATCGAAAGTGAACTAAGATACGGTGTCGACAAGTCAAGATCACCGCTGTAAAAGATAAATCCAAAAAATTGCTTAGGAATTAATCTAAAAAATTTTACTAGTAGTCCTTGGAAATAATTAAAGCAAATATGAAGGATGCAATTAGAGCTTAAATATGCTTTTTTGGGAAATAAATTGAAAAAAAAATAAAATATATTGTTTTTATGTTAAGAAAGTTAAATAATATTTATAGAAATATAATTAAAACAATATATATATATATATATATTTAATTATTATTATTATTATTATTATTAAAGGAAGAGAGAGAAGGATTAACAAAAATTCTCTAATTTAAGATAACTTCAAATATATATAAGTTTTATTTTTTATAGTTTATTAAAACTCTTAAACTCTTTTTCTTGTATATATGTTTAAAACTTTTAAACAAGTGGTACTATAAGAAAACAAAAAAATCTTTCTTTTTTCTCCTAAAATTAACTCTTAATAAAAAAAATCATAAATTTAGAAGAAAAGAAAAGGAAAATGTTGAGAGTAAGAAAAGAGGGAAAAAAAAAGAGAATGAGAGTTAAAAAAAATAAATTTGAATAATATAAAAATATGAATTTGTGCGAGTTTTTAAAAATTTATAAAATCTCTTGAACTATTTTTCTTATATTTTAAAAACTCTTAAATAAAAATTACCATCAAATAAATATTATCTATCTTCTAATTCTTCCCTTAAAATTAATTCTCAGGATTTTTTGACAATAACCCAACAAAACATGAGCCTAAAATTATGGCCAAATTTTCAAAGAAAGTGTTACTATGTGACTGGCTGAATGGAATATTGCAAAATGATTGAATAAAATAAAATTGGTTGAACATTCATAATTGCCTCTATATAAAATATCGTTCCAATCCAAAGATATTGCCCTGTCAAATGGAATTATTTTTTCTTTGCTTTAAAAGGGAAGATTTAAGTAACTTACCAGTAAATTAGAGAGCGTAGGTTTGTGTTTGTGAGATTTCGAAGGTGTTCAACGACGCTAGGAACGTTCTTTGTATATGCATCACTTCGATTGCATCTTTGGAAGTACTCTTTGGTTCCCTTTAACATTAAACATTTTAATTTACCCTTTCCTATTCAATTCTTTTAACATACATAAGGACATAAAATAATAAATTATTATTTAAAATTATCAATGCTTTGACTTTTTTTTTTTTTTTAAATTACAATTCGTAAGTTCTTATTATTTACTCAAATATAAATAAATAAATAATTTTATTAAAAATTATGAATATTATTTTATCAATATATTAAATTATATAATATTTTATAAATATCAATAAAAAAATTGTTAAATATAACTGTTATTGAAAAATGGTTTTTATTTTGGCAATATCTAATTAAAGGAATGCTTAAGTATGATTATAGTTACCTCTCTAACGTGAAGAGCCTTTCGAACAAGTGGATCATTTGCCCACAATTCTCCAACAGCGTATTGGTCATCCTAGATCAATATATTGTAAGATTTATGAGTATTACATTTATAACATAGATCGACACACACATATATTCATGTATATAGAGCTAGGATGAAATAATATTAAGCGTTAAATTTAATAAAAATTATTTATTTAATAATTTTTATTAAAAATAAATTTTATTAATTAATTTTTATGATATTTTCATGAATATATATTTGTAATATTTATTTATATTTTAAATAATATATAATCCATTAAAATATAATAGTATGAAAAATATTAAGTAATATTTAAATTATATGAAAAATTATAAATTTGATCTACTTTAAGAATTTAAAATTGATCGGCTTAATTGATAAAATTTATTTTTAATAAAAAAACATATTAGAGATGCCATTTATTCCTAACTCTATACTCACACATAGGTTCAATTAAATTTGTAGTCTTTGAAATTTTCATAATTTTTATTTAATACATTATTTTTTAAATTCATTTTAAACAATTTCCATAATATTTTTGTTTACAAAAATGATCTCTTTTCTTTAATTTTTCTTATTTGGTCCTTCTAAATATCATAAGATTTTTTATTTGATTCCTCTCTCATAGTAGACTAAATACAAAGTAATATTATATATATATAAATAATATATATATAAATAATATATATATATATATATATAGAGAGAGAGAGAGAGAGAGAGAGTTACATACCCGACACCTAAATTTGGTTTGGTGGATATTTTTGAACTCTTCAGAAAGAATTCTTTGATTCTCCTTCGATCCAATCATACAACTTGGTTCCAAAATTTGAAATTCATTTATGTAACGAACTAGCTACGACATGATATAAGTATTAAATGTATTTGAAAAATATAAACAAATTAATAGCAAAAGCTAAAAAATTTAGAAGACTTCTCACCTCAGAAAAGGCTTCATAATCTGATATACACTTTGTATTGTTAGGATCACGATTAATATAATCACCATTGCAGCCAGATTTAATTGACTGTAAAAGAAAAATTGCACCAAACTCAGTTTTTAACCCAGATCATTGGATGTTACCATAATCCTGAGTTGAATATATATTAATTAATAACTATAATTAATTTAAAATCTAGTGAATTAGTTGAATATAACCTCATATAGTTCATTCGATATAAGTGCCCGTTGGTAAGCAAATTCAACTTTTGTGTTATTGTCCATGAAAGAGTCAATTCTTGGACTTGAAAGCACAAAGCCCTAGTTTAAAGTTCAAAGATGAAACCCAAATATTGAATAAAGTTCAATGAAATGCTAATCAACAACGTAAAAATGTAAGCATATTTCTGTACTTGGAAGTTCAGGATTGGTAAGCGTCTTGCTTTATAATCTGCAAATTTGTAAACTATGGTTAAAACACAAAGCAATTTGAATTGAATCAAACTACAGTTGAATAAGATTATATTTCTCTTTCCAGAGAGGCATTTTTATTCTTATTTTTCATTTTTAAAGGACAAATATATATTATATTTGAATTTATTTTAACGTAAATGACTTTTTAGAGTTTTTTTTTTCTCTTGCATTGATTTTTAATATGATTAACAGTTAATTTTAACTATTTACTATGAATTTTATTAATTTAGAAAATAAAATAAAGATTTAAAAAAATTAAAATGATAATATAAATATTTAAATTTGTTTCTATTCTAAAATATTCAAAATTAGGTGCTCCGGATATTTAAAGTTGCGGAAAAGAATTAAAATATCAGTGGCCTTCATAGTTGTTCGTTATTGTTAAATGGGATTGAAAAAAAAAATGAAGTGCAACTGATATTCATATCTCAAGGGGAGAAATAGTATAATTTTGAAATAAGAAGATAAAGAGAAGTGCAATTAAAACACCTTTTAAAAGAAGAAAAAAAGTATAATTTACTCACTAAAATATTATTATTGGAATCACATATTGTAAAACTTAGTATATAATAATTACCTTCATATACTTTCTGAACAAGGGGAACAACAACCATGCCTGAGTATGAACCACCACCAATGTAAAGTGGATTTGATCTGAATCTAACATGATCGGCCATCCACTAAAAATATAAAAATGGGGAGACGGATAAAATGGATATATATACACACACACAATTATAATTATCATTTATAAAAAAAAATCAAATTTAATAGAAGATAGATTTCAGCACACATACACACACAGAGAAGAAAATGTAAATGATGTTAACCTTTTGTAAAAATTCGTAGATGTGTTCTACCAGTTGTATGTCATTGCTATAATAGCCTTCTTGTGTTTTTGAGTAAGAATATCCTGTGCCAACTGGGGCATCCACGTATAATATGTTGAGAACCTTTAAAAAAGAAGAAGAAAGTATTCATAGTTTATCAATATTCAAATTTCTAGTATGACATTTCTTGCTAGGTTTATCACATTCCTTGTACATATAACCAGTTACGTGATGAAGATATTTCAATTTTAAGCTTGCCCATGTAGACGATGGAACTTAATATATTCTATATAGTCACTAATTGCTCTAAAGAAATTAATCTCCAAAAGGCTGATAGTATTAACACTGACAAGTATCACCTTTGTCCAAGTGTTTTGATTCAATATAAGTTCTGGAAAGCTCCCATTAAAAGCATCATAATTGAACATCAATGGCCCTGCAATTTAAAGCAGCAAACTCAGCTACTGGGTAATTAAGGAACTCAGTAATATGATAAAAATAATTTAGATCATCTACAGTACAATAAGAAGTAATAATCAACGATTTAAAAGTTAATAGTTAAAATATAAATAAATATATACTATATTATATTTTATCTGTATTTAATCCTAATTATTACTGTTGATTTTTAGAGCATAACTTTAATGCATTGTTAGCATAAAAAATTTCACATTATCAAGTAATTAAAATACATGGTATTTATAACTTTTAAATTAATTATTACAAAAATTTATAATTTTTTTATATAATAATTCATAATTGGATGATAGTATAAAAAATATACAGCTATAATTCTAATTTTAACCAATAATTATAACTTCTCGTTTTATTATTTAAAATGAATCCCTCATTTTTAAAAGAGTTGATGAAAGAATAAGAATTATAAGATCATGCATTTACAAAAGGCTTATATCAACATTATGTTAATGTATGCATCCTATCAAACTCCCTATTTCCGATGAAAATATGGTTGATAATAATTAAATTGTACTGAAGTTGTACTGTGCTAAAGAGATTATAAAAATTTTATTAAAAAAATAAAAATTAATATAATTTAACATATTAATATTATTAAATGTTATAAATTTTATGAAAACTTATTCTATATGACTTCATATCATATAATATTCTGAGTTAGAAAAATAATAGAAGTAACACCAAATAACAGTGAGAAAAGAACATAGTCAACAAATAAGATTGGAACAAAATTAGGAAACGTTTACCATTTTCATAGAAGAAAGCAGAATGGGCAGAGCAACCTGGACCTCCAACAAGCCAAAGTAGGAGTGGGTCATTCAAGGGACTCCTTTGAGATTCAATAAAGTAATAAAAAAGCTGCACCTGTTCTCTTTCTCCAACACCAATGTATCTATATATGTTGCATGCAACATTTTAATTTGATATATACAACAAGAAACAAAAAGCCTTGAAGGAAACAAACTTGTCCAAAATCAAAACAAATTCAAAAGCAAAATATGCAATTACAACTAACCCAGTATTCAACGTGAATGGAAGATCCCCAAAACCTGGTAAATTCTTGACACTGAAATTGGATGATGTGATGTGGAACAAATGTACTGCAGTAACCAGAACACACCATGACTTCCAAATATTAACCATTGTGCCACTATATTTATGACCCCAAAAATGAATAATGAAGCTAACAGATATGTGAAATGTGCAAGGAATTGAAGATTGGATCCTTAATGAGGATAGTAATCACCAAAGCACTTAATGAAGTTAAAATTGTTTTGGATCAGAAGAGATAAAATATTTATAGTTCTTGATTTCAGTGACTGGTCAATGGTTTGGAGATCTGTGCTGCTTATTAATCCTTTTGAGTAAGTAAGAAGGTTAATAACTAACATGTGTTGCACAGCATTATAACGAGATTGTTTGTTCAGAAAGGAAGCATTGGATGGATTCTTTGAAAGTGTTATACATTAAATATTATTGAATTAAATAATTAAATAATTTTTTTAAAAAATATTGTATGATTATTTTAAAATAATAAATTTTATATAAGAAAGAGTAAAATATTTAATTATTCATAAAAATTAATTTATTAAACAAGACTAAATTAAAGAAATAGAATTTTCAAAATTAAAAAAATATAAAAAATTTAAATTAATATTAAATTAAAAATTATGAATATTATTTAATTTTTAAAACAATTTCATTTAAGATAGTTCCTAAAAAAACCCATTTGATAATGAGAACTTACATTTTACATATAAAGAGATAAATTTAACTAACGGATGGTTATCATAATATAATAAAACTAATACAAAATGTTTTATGTCAAAAATAATATGATAAAATTTAAAATTAATTGAATGCTTAATTCAAAAAAAGGTCACGTAATTTAATAAAAATAGATCTTAAACTAAAACTATTTCCATTTAAAAAGAAGAAATAAAAATCAGAAAAAGAATTGATTCAATTAAAGTGAATCTGTGGACTTTGGATGAGGTTCCAAGATCATATAAAACAGTAACCCATAAAATTGCCCCAACCTAGGCAGGGTTGAGTTGTCTGTGCCTTAAGTTTTGTTGGTCCTCTTCATCGAATCCATTAGTAAATGAGTTGTGTTCTTAGTTGAATTTGTTTGTGTTTTACGAAAAGTTATAGCCTAATGCTATTGAAGATCAACCACACTTCTAATTCCCCAATCCCAAGTTCTTGAGACGTTAAAATACCCTCCTTGAGTTTATTATGTCTTATATGGATAAGTATTATATTTAAATAATTAAAAAACTGAGAATAATATTTGAGATTAATATCGGTTCTTTTAATTTACTCATTGAAGTTTACGAGCAATAACTATGACCATATAGTTAGTATAGCATAATTCGTGTGATTTGATGTGGTTTTCCAACTGAAGGATATAGATCGTAGGGAGTGTCGGTTCTTTTATTTCTTTTTGCGAAATTTGAGGGAACTTTTGATACTCCATGAAGTCAGACTCGCTATGTTTTAGAAAAAAAAAAAAAAGCTTTGGTTTCTTGTTCACATGCCTCCTTTTTTTCTCCACAACGTTTGTTGTTTTTTTCTTTTTCTCGTATTCTTTTCTTAGAATCGGTTGATAGAAGGAATTTTATTAAGAATGTCAAACAAATATTTGAATTATTTGATGGCATGATGAAAAAATTGGGAAAGATAATATAATACAAGTTGTGCCAAATATTGCTTCCTTGTGCCAACTAGAAAAATGGTAAAAGAAAATGAGACAAAATTGTTTTAGTCCTCTTGTACAACTCACTATTTACATATTTGGTGTTTAAGGATATTGTACAGCTTTCCATGTTCTTTAATACAATTTCAAATGCAAAAAAAATTACAACTTACATATATAGACATACTTGGATCATTAACTTGTATAAATAACATTCTAAACAAAAGAAATTAACAAGCCTAATTATAACAAGTTTTGTAACGTTTTATCTCACATTAAATTTCATTATGCAACAAAAAAATAATCTCTAATGTTTGCTTCAAAAAAAATAAGTTGAAAGTTCTTATTCTAGTAAAAGTGAGGCTAAGCAAGTCATGAACTTAATTTGAGTGGTTCTAGGTTTTGAAAATCCATCTAGTATTGCTTAAAGTGTGTGATTACTCTTGTAAAAGTATTAAGGCTTGTAAATGGTGATTTAAAACCAACCATGCCATATGTTTATGAAGCAATGGATAAAGTTACAGAGCAAATTATCAAAAACTTTCAATCAAGAGTGAAGATATAGAAATATATAAAAGATTATACTAGGTGGAATTTACAAACTAGGCCTCTCCATGTAGTTGTCTATTGTCAAACCTGTATTATATATACACACACATTTTCTTTTAAAGATGATGTTGTATGCTGATAATGGTATGAAATGACTTGGATTTGTGTATATGTGAGCTGTATAGTTGCTGAATAAGAGTTGTGCGTTTGCAATGTTGAGTGGTTGTTGTGTTTGATACGATTAATAGTGAGGGCTTGAGATCAACCATTAAGTGTTTATGTGTATAGAAACGTAGGGATATAGTAGAGGATTTGTAAAACCTTCATTCTTGGAAAAAAAATTTGAGAGTTTTGGGTGCAAGGTTTCTCACTCAAGTAAGGTATGTCTTGCTCAAGCGAGATTGGTTCGTGCTGATTTGTGTATTCTAGAGTGATCTCGCTCAAGCGAGATCAGTCTCGTTCAAGCTAGATAAGGTAAGACCACCCCAATTGTCCTCTCGCCCAGGCAAGAAGGAATCTCACTCAAGTGAGAAGTGACATCGCTCAAGCGAAGAGTCACAATAAAAATAGGAAGCTCTCTAGACCCATTCTTGATCAGGCGAAATGTAGCTCACTTTGGCGAGATGTCTCTCACTCAAGCAAGAATAGCAGAGATTTGAGTGGTTCCACTGTTTGATTTTCTCACACAGGCAAGAGCAAGGCTCGTTCAAGCAAGAATTGACTCGCTTAAGTGAGAGCGTGTGAACCTAGAGGGGTATTTAAGAATCTCAGTGCAAAGAAATATTCATTTTCTCACCAGACAACCTTCCCCTCTCATTTTCTCTCTCCTTTTTCTATTAGAGGAAACATTCCAGAAGCCGAACTTCTTGCTGATACAAGTGAGAACATCTATCTCATCCAAATCTAGGTGAGTTCCGGAGCTCAGTTCTCCATCTACACTTCTTATTCCTTTGTTTTCTCTTCCTTAAGTGTTTTCTACTTTGTCATTCTAAGTAGATATGGATCTTTTGGGCTGTATTCTATATCCAGAAGTGAATCTATCTCTTTGGGACTCATGAGGAGTGCAATCTTAGAAATCCATTCCAAGTAAGAGGAGATTACCTTAGAAGGTCTTTATTACTCACTTGGATGTTGTGATATTATATATAATATTGTTTTAGTTGAGAATCAGTTGACGTATAAACAAACCTTAGGATAGAACCCGAAGTATGTATGGTTAAGGAGATTTTCTGTTGTTTGATGATGGTATAGAGCTAGTTGTGTGTGGAAAAATGATTGAAATGTAGTAATGTAATGTGTTAAAAATGTTTTATATATATATATATATATATATATATATATATATATATATATATAGTTGTGCTGCATCATGCCTATTTTATTATTCTAAAACTGAGTTACATGTTTAGGTAGTTAGACATGTAACAGTAAAAAAATATTGAGTTGTGTTGTGTTGTGTCTAGATCTAGATAGTGGGATAGATCACTTCCAAACCAAAAACAGTTCCTTTAGAATATTTGAGCTGTGAAACCAATTGGAATTGAATTGCATTTACATTAGATGGGACATTAGATATGCTAATAATGGGTTGAACAAGTTATATCAATTGGCTGAGATTGTTGTGTTACTTGTTGAGGACTATAAAAGCTGTATAAATATTTCTGATATTTCTATACCCTATAGTTATGATTGTTAAGCTCACCCTTCCATTGGTTTGAGCTAGTGTGTGTGATATGATGACCATACGTGGTACGTAAGTATGTGTGATAGGTGATACATCTACTCCTCATGCAGGAAGGTCTAGCTGAAGGATGTTTGGAGTTTAGCATGACTTTTTTGTAGAAGTTGTATCTTTACTTATTTTGTTAGTCTAGGTCTTGGCGGTAAGTTTATACTACTTAGCTATAATTTTTGAGACATGTAATTTTGTTTATAATCTATATTTGAGCTTTATATTGAGCAACTCTTATATAAATATTGTTACAAAGTAATTATGTATTTACATGTTTATAATTTTGTAATGATGTCTTGAAGTCCCATTTTATTATTGAAACAATGAGCTTTTATTTTTTAGTGATCATTGTGAAATAAGTCTCAAAACTTTCTAAAATGCAAAAATTTCATATAAATTCTCTTTGGTTAAGTATGTCAAATATCCTTCCCAAAAAGGAGCTTTGACATCTATTATCTCAATCCAAAGTAAATAAATTCATCATTAATCTCTTAAGTTTCTTGATCAAAAAAGCTTGAAAGACCTTCTTGATCAAACATTTCAAACCCCGGAGCAACAGCAATGGTTACCCAAATTCATAGGGTATGACTTCACAATTCAGTACTCTCCAGGAAAGGAAAATATACCTGTTGATGCCTTGTCTAAGAGCCTTGCAATGGCTTGGTCAGAACCTTCAAATAATTGGCTTCAAACAGTAGCTGCTACAACCAGAAATGATGAGTCATTGAGGAAAATTTATCGAGATTGTCTTAACAATATAGGAAGGTGTGGAGATTATTCATTGCAGTAAGATGTTATCACATGGAAAGGGAGAATTATGTTGCCAAGGGATGATACCTTAATAAAGATGATCATGAATGAATTTCATTCATCTAAAGTAGGAGGTCATGCTGGAACTACTAGAACAATTGCTAGAATTAGTGCTCAATTTTACTGGCACAGAATGAGAGACGATATAAGAAGGTTTGTTCAAGAATGTGCTATTTGTCAGCAAGCAAAAGTCACTCAGTCCTTACTTGCTGGACTCCTTCAGCCACTCCCCATTCCAGACCTCATTTGGAGAATATTGCCATGGATTTCATCACTTCCCTGCCCTTATCTCATGGATACTCTAATATCATGGTGATAATTGACAGATTATCAAAGTTTGCTCATTTTATTCCA